AAGCCACAGTGGAACATGGCCCCTGTGAGGTCCCTCAACTTGGGGTGATACGTGCCTAAGCTACAGCACCAAGTGCCCTGAAGCAAAGGCAATTGGGCATGACCCGCCAAGGATGAGGAATCGAAGCTGGCACAGTTCATCGCGCACTGTCACCCAAGGGAAGTTACTGCCGGCACTTGAGGGGGCCCCGGTCACCACGACAGTGGGCTGCTCCTGCAACTATAGGGCCTTTTCTTCATTTCATATGCGCTGTACTGCGTGTTGGTTAGCGGAGGTAGACTGTCGTACGGGAGACCCAGGGGGTCCAGGTACCTAGCCACTCCATCCCCGCCAGGAACAGAGACAAACCTAACCAGAACGTCAGGTACTTGACTGACGGTGCGGCGATGTGGACGGTACCTGACCTGACGGGACCAGACCTGGAAATTGGGAAACTGGAAACCGGACTGGACTGGACCTGGGACCTGGACTTGGACTGAGGTGACTGACGGACCGCAGACACAAAATCGTAACCTCTCAACTTGGCTCCTCTTTTTCCCTCTCATGCACATTGCACACAAACCTGCGAATTGCCCGGCAGAAACAATCATCCAACACCACTGTCATCCTTCCAAAGTGAGTCTGAACCGATCCTATGGTCTTTGCGATCGATGTCTTCTATCCCTTTGCACCATTCTGCTCCAAGATCCCGAGTCCCGACTCTCCTGTGCTTCCACCGGGCTCAATGTCGAGAGAGGTTTGATGTCTGGACTGGGGTCTGGCTCGCTCTCTCTCTCTTTCTCTCTCTGGCTGTGCTTCTTCGCTACTACGTCTTGCCGTGCGCTCCCCGACCCAGTCCCAGCTCAACCTCTCCTCTTTCTCTCCTACCACTCCTCTTCCTACCTTAACCATACTTCTGCTTCTCCTCCTCTCTTCACTCCCGATACACTCTATCACACCGTCAATTTCGTCCATTCGGTCCTCATCCTCCATCCCATGGCTAATCTTTTGCAGTCCATGCCCTAGACTCCAAATCACCCCGTACTCCTTTCCTCAACCATCGTCCTCTCCGACCGTTCGCTCCGGCAGCGTCCTTGGTCAGATCGCCCCGTCTGGCGCTGACCGCACGACGACACAGGACCCTCGATATAACGTCCATGTTTGATAATTCGGTGGATTGATCCCTCATTCCGTTCCTCATCCGACTCAAGTTTCGGCTTGCTCGTCGTTGATACCCTTCGTCCCGCCCATCGACCGCCGACTCAGGCTCAGGGTCCCAACCTTTCCGTGCCAACTCTACGGAAACCCGCACATCGCACACCACTCCATTTCCCATCAAACTTCTCTCACTCGACATTCCTCCATTCAAACCCATCGAATCAATACCATACATCACAATGACGAGCATGTCGCCCACAAGCGTCGTCAACGGCGGTTCCGCGGCCACCTCAAACCAGGGTAGCGTCTCGCCCCGGCAGACAGTGTCGCCCAAGAACGTCGCATTTGAACTCCTCTTCACCGAGTCACCGCAATACAGGGCGCGACTCCCCATGCGAGTCCAAATATATCCTCATGACACTACCGATTCCATTGTTACGACCGTCAAGAATTTTTACGGTCTGTACGGTGGCCCGACGGGCTCAAAGGGCGTCAGTTTCGAGGACGAAAATGGTATAACCCTCATCGCCCGATACGAGAACTTCCGCAACAACATGGTTGTCTACGTCAGAGTCATTGAGGAGTCCCCCTCTGCTTCTAGCCCCTTTGTGCCGCCCACATATCATAACCCTCCCCCCAGCGCTCAGCAATATTTCGAGGGCAACGGTTATCCGCTGCAGCCTCCACCGCGCTTCGGCCAAGAAATCTCTAGGCCTTCATCGAGCACCTCTCGGAAGCGCAGCCCATCCCCCAATGCCGGACGCGGCCGGCGTTCCGGATCTGCCCATACGAATTCCAAGAAGGGTCGATCCCGCTCTTCCAAGAATCGGGACACTGCCGCCTCCAATGGCCACGCTGATATCTACAGTGATAGCGTCAACGGATACAGCAGCGGTGACGGCGCTCCTGGGTCCAGCTCTAGCAGAATGAAGGAGCAGATTGGCAACACCGAAATCAGCCTCGAAAACATTGTTGAGGGAGGTCGTCGCAAGCGGGCCAAATTTGAAAGCTCGGTAAGTTTGCCTGACCGCACGGGTCTTGGACAATATCCTTTTCTTCTCTATTCTTGTTAGTCTGGGCCTTTGTACTCATCCTGTTCCATTCAGGAACTCCCCTTATTTGCGCCTCCTCAGATGCCAGCGGCTACGTCGAATCCGTCCGTATCTCCTGCCCGCCGCGCCGAGCCTCAGCGAGCCTCTCTGCCATTTGTCCACCCGGGCCAGAACCCTTTCACGAACCCGATGCCTCTGCATTCCCCGCAGAGCCACAATAATGGATATGCGCAAGGTGGATTTTATGCGACGCCGTCGTCTGAACGCCACGGTCGCGGTAGCATCGGATACGCTGGGCAAACCGGCAACTACAGCGGCATGAGCGGCATTCTGCCCACTCCAGACCCCACCGTTGGCAGCTGCATGTCAGAAGAGGATAAGGATGTTGCCATCCAGCTTATGCGCCTGGGTGAAATGTCAAACATTTCTCATGGCCGCACCTCTGCGTCCACGCTGGACGACACCTTCAGCGGCCGTGCCGACGCCGCCTCTTCCACTGGAGCCACTAGCGATGGCGAAAGTGAGAGCGACGAGGAGTCAGCCGCCCGGCGCCAAAAGCTGGATGCTGCTGGTGTCATGCGCAAGATCTACCAGACTACAGAGAGCCACTTCATTCCCCAGCCCAGCATCGAAACTCCTGTTGAAGACGTCCGTGTCGAGAAACCTACCAGTCACGTCGTCAATGGCGAGGGCAAGCCCGAGGTGCTGAAGAACAAGACCAACCTTCCGGATGCCAAACCAAAGACACAACTGCCAAGCTCCAAGCCCAAGACCAAGGTCAGCAAGGTTCCTCGGCCTACTATTCCTAAGCCCAAGAAGGCTTCAGCCCCGGCATCCATTTCGGCTCCCGCTCCCGCTAGCAACGGGCCCATGTCGCCGGCCTCTCTGCCTCCTTCGCGCAAGCCATCAATTGCCTCTGCTGCTGCTGCTACCTCGGGTGCGCCCGGCGAAGACGATCAGCTTGATCTTTCTGCCAAGCCCCGCTGCCAGCGATGCCGCAAGAGCAAGAAGGGCTGTGACAGGCAGCGACCTTGTGGGCGATGCCGTGACGCCGGCCTCAATGCTGAACAATGCATCAGCGAGGACGAGGGCAATGGACGCAAGGGCAGGTATGGACGACACATGGGCGTTCCTATTAAGAAGGAAGACATTGTCAACCCTACGCAGCCTATTCTCCTGCCAGCTGCGCCAATTGCCACGACGGCCGCGATGGCCGACAAGAACAAGAAGCGCAAGCGGTAGAATGGCCGACTCCTGATGGAGTGAGCACAGCCCTGCGCAGCATCACTCAGAAGAGGGTTGGCGAGTCTATTTCACAACTCATTGTCACAAAGTTTTGGACCACTTTTCTGCGGCGACAAAGATTTACCGGCTTACCGGCGTCTGGCGGCAAGGGTGGTTGGAATTGGGCGAGGCGCTCGGACGGTATCGTCTCACGACATGCCTCTCATCGTCGCAATTGTCGGATGTTTGTCACCATGACCATCCAACAGCACTGGCAACACGGCAGAGACTCGTTGGTGAATACCATTGAGAATCGCCGGGTGAGGCCGGTTGCGCACACTCCTTTTGGCGTTTATGGTCTCTTTTAAATGGGAAGCGGTGTTTTTTTTTTTGTAATTCCATTTACTGGCTTGCGCGCGATGTCCTTTTCATTTCCTACTACATGTCTTTCGAGTTGTGGCGAGGGTGCTACAGTTTTGGCGAAGTTGTGCAACTGTACGATGTGGTGGAGCGGCTGAAGGCCAGAAAAGCAAGCGAGTATATTGGAATACTTGTGGGCGCGTGCGCAGCGCAAATGGATCAGTGTTAGGATGTGGAAGATCAAGGTTTCAATGCAAAGTGAGGATGGAATTGGGAGGCTACAGGTGCGGAGGAGAACAAAAGGCAAGGATGGGTACAATGGCAGGCGAGAACGGTTCCGAGGCTCACGCAATAGTCAAATTGTCCGGGCGGAAGGTGGATCGCATGCCTTGGAGGTTTGTGTTTTCCTATATGTGCGCAAGCGACATGAAGCTTCTCTGCGTGAGCGAGCTTGCTTCTGTTTCTTTAGTTCCTCTCTGGATGCTATTTGGAGGCGGGCAACAGGAGAAGATGCAGCTACGATACGACTGTTTTTGTTAGTGGCAACGGTTCTGTAGCGAAAGCCAAAGGGAGAAAAAAAAACATACTGATCATGTACCTTTGGTGTTTGCGGCGATGCGGCGCAATGCAATTAATGGAATGCGACAACGGTGAAAAGTGAATATGCGGGTGCGATGACATTGCATCTTCCGGTGCGGAGCGGGGACAGAGCAGGACGGAAGTCGTTGAAAGATGGATGCGCGGCTAGTCCGCTTATGGCACTAGCGTGCGGTTCTCGCCGTTGCATCCCGTTCCGGCTCGGGCGGGGAGGGGGGGCGTATGGATTGGATGGTGTGGCTGACGTCTGTTAGCCGCCCTGTCAGATGGGGAAGGGCAGAAGCACAGGCGCACAGTCGCACAGTGTGCGGCGGCAGTTGCGAGCCGTGCGCGCGATAGAGCAGAAGCTCGGGCTTCTCGCTGGGTGGGAGAGTTGGCTGGTGCGCACTCTCGCGCGCTAAAGAGGTACTTGAGCTTGGGGCGCAAGAGCTTCCGCGATCCACACGGGGAGAGGTACTGTTGAGAGGGAAAGCTCCAAGCGTGAGGTACCTCTCTAATTACGTCATTCCATGTTTTGCAATGAGTGCTTATTTACCCCGCACCTCTTCGAGAGCTCCCCGCATTTTTTTTTTTTTTTTGGTCAACGATGTCACGGTCATGCAAGTTTTGCGCGTGAAGAATTTCGCTTTGCTACATGTTGTCGTCGGTGAACGACAATTGTGTTGAAGAGTCGTGAGGATGATCGTGCGATGCAGGGTTTGAGTGCGTGCATGGCGACGCGATTGAGTCAGCGTGGCGCAAATTTGCGATCACGTTGAAGCAGCCTCTTGTCTTCTTTTTTTTGCCGATGCATGCGCTACATGACACGAGGAATATAGCGAGGCCAAGGACGTTGCGGGATTGGTACTTTTGCATGAAGAATGGTTGAAGGCGGTGAGCGCGCGTTGCTGGCGGTTGTGGGTTAGAGGCGAATTAGAGTGTGTGCATATGTATCGCATGCGTTGCGCAAAAAAAAGGAACGAATAGAATCGTCTTGAAGTCGCGTCTCAAGGTGGTTTTTGTTATTTGTTGTTGTTTTGTTTATTTGTTTACTTTTATGCGCTCATTTACTTTTACCGTTTTTTGGACGTTTTGGAGAGGCGCAGGCGCAGCATGGAGGTGCGAGCTTCCTTGGATTGGAGGGATTTGGGTGTTTCACTGGTGGCAGTGCTTATTCCGGCGGAGGGGGATGGGGACGTTTAGTCGTAGTGCCTGCAGTCGCGAATCTTGCTGCGACACCAAGACGAGCAGCTAGCTGGAGCAGGTGGCAAAAAAACGCGGTACATATAGTGCATGCGACAGGCCAGCATATGGATAAGATACGGATAGGTAAGGCAGAGTGAGAACAGCACAAATGGGGGCTTGCCTCCCCTTCTTTTTCCCCTGGAACCAAAAGACAAGGCCAGCGACCAACACCGCAAGGTGACAAGGTAAGGTAGAGAAGACGCAGGGATGGAAAAGGATCGGGGGGTGTCATCAGGTCATGATCCGCGGCGCGTTGTTGTGTTTGAGACTGATTGGTGACGACACTTTCTCGCACGCTTTTCTCGGAACTTCGGATTGGACGGCACTGGGCGGGTTTAGAGGTCGCGTTGGGATGGAGTGAGGTGATGCGCAATCAATCTGCGCCCGACGGTATGGATCGATCATCGCGGTAAGGTAAGGCAGCATAGCGAAAGCCTCAATGCAAGGCGGGAAAGAATGATGGGAATCGTGCGGGAGAAAAGGAAAGAGAAAAGGGAGAGATGAAGAAACGTGTTAGCTGCAGCGTTTATTGCTTCTTCGATCGGGGGCTCTTTTGCAAATCGCATCTTGACCACTCGGTAAGGTATCCTCATTGTTAGCATGCGATGCGACGCGACGGGGCGAAGACGGTGGGTTGGATGAGGACGGATGCACGTTTAAGGTAAACTAAACGGAACGGCAGGTTGCGCCCCGCATCCGCGATTCGGCGCGCCGATGGGGGTCAGCTTTTTGTTGGCGTTCGGGTTTTCTTGGAGCGGGGGCGGTCCTAGGAAGTTGCAACCGAAGGCGGCCCGTGCGATACCTCCGCTGTCGCTGCTTTTTCCAATGTCACTAAACCGATGGTTGGTTTGGGAAAGCCGGCGGAAGATAAGATATTATCTTATCAGTCCCGAGGGACCTTGAGAAACGAAAAGTCTCTGCATGACGAAGAACACAACAATGGTTGATATGTACACATGCTGCCTTACCTTACTCTGGACCGAATAAAGATGTGCTTTCTGCACGTTTGAGTTAGAATATGTACCAATGACTGATCGATCATATTTCATCTCCAGACTCATAAGGCGCTTTCGTTCTTCCTGTGCTCATGCCTCTCTTTCTTTCTTTCTAGCCCGCAGTGGCAGAGCTATCCGCAAAGCACGCTATTGTAGTAGTAGGCTGTACGGACAGATAGGTTTGGTCGAGCCAGGTCAATTGCGGACCTAGAATGTCTACAATGCAACTCCGCCTTTTGCCAAGGTAGCTTGAGTAGTGGTCACAACCCCCCCAGAACCACCAAGCTACCTTTATCGTCCAATGATAATGAGTGATCGAGTCACGCAACTCTCGAAATTTCGAGGACCTCTCTGGACAGGACCAGATGAGAATTTCGGGTAGGTACGGAGACTTACCTGATAGTTGGGACTTGAGAGTGCTGAGACGAGAGAGAGAGATGGAGAAATAAGAAATATGCGCATGACCAATATACCCCCGGTACTGCCCTGCAGCCCTGTAAAGCAAGCAAACCGCAATATCAACTGGAGCAAACTTTTGTTCTTCAAGTTCCAACTTTGCCCAGTCGGGTGGGTCTTCCGCTTCGGAAGGCTTTCCCCGGGACTCATACTACCGAAAATATTACCGCGTCAAAGTCTCACTCGTGGCATCCGGTCGGAGCACCATCGCCCCTCGGCGAACACTCCGTCTCGCCGAAGACTCCTAACACTCCGTGGTAGTACCTAGGCCGTTGGTTAAGATAGGGCGCGAAAGGCGTACGCCCAAGCCGACATGTTGGGCGCCGAGTCCCGCTGCTATGCAGAGGAGGGAGGGACGCTCTCCCGCTCCCGGCGGTCACACCGCAGGCCCGGAAATAAGATCCCGGCCGTGTTTGCTTCCATTGTTTGCTAACGATTCCCCGTTGGCTGCATTGTGAAACTGCTTCCGTAGACGGGAGGTTCTTCAATTTCGGCAGTCGGGGTGAAAGATAGGGCGATTTCGGCGCGATAGTTGGGTTGCAATTTTTCTTGATTTTTTCTATTTTTCTATCACTTTTCTTTACTTATTGCTAGTAGCGTCCGCTTGGGCTATGACTCCGTGACGAAAGAAACGACTTTTCTTCTTTTGACCTCCTCGCTTTACATCCCTAATATCTAATATTACCAGCTGAGAAAAAGGACAAAACGAAAAAAGACTTTTCAGGCCCCCTTGGATCGATGGAGGACCTGACTCAACATATTTAACCACATTGTCGTCTCGTCTTTTTAACCGTCTGTTTCCCGGGATGGACATGCCATCATCACAACATTCGTTTGACCAAGATAAGGGCGTCATCACCATGTCCGACACATCAGACTCATCAAGGAGCCGCGGTCCCAGCGCCGAACTCCCTACCACCACGGAGAAGGAGAAGGAGATCCAAACAACCACCGGCACGGCCACCGCAACCGACGAAGAGGAGACCTCGGAGGCAGACGAGCACCAAGTCCGCGAATGGTCCGCCGAGCACGACCTCGTCTACCCGGAAGGCGGCTGGACGGCCTGGTCCCAGGTCCTGGCCGGCAACATGCTCAACGCCCTAGCTTGGGGCTACCCGGCCACTTTCGGCGTCTACCAGCTCCACTACACCGAGACCCTGCGCCTGCCCGCCTCGCAGGTCTCGTGGATCGGCTCCGTGCAAATCTTTTTGACGTTCGCCGTCTGTACCGTCTCGGGCCGGCTCACGGACGCCGGGTACGCCCGGCACGCCGTCTCCGTGGGTTGTGCCTTTGTGGTGTTTGGATCATTCATGACGAGCCTGTGTACGAGGTATTGGCAGATTATGCTCGCGCAGGGGATCTGTACCGGCCTGGGGCTGGGCGTGCTGTTCATGCCGGGCGTGGCTATCATCGGGTCGTATTTTAAAAAGAGGCGGTCTCTAGCGCTCGCTGTTTCGGCGACGGGGACGGGGGTGGGGAGTTTGATCTTCCCGTCGACGCTTCAGTATCTCATCCCGCAGGTCGGGTTCCCCTGGGCTGTACGGTGCTCGGCGTTCGTCGCGCTCGGCGTGGCGACGATTGCTATTGCTCTGCTGAGACCTAGACTCCCTCCGAGAAAGGCTGGGCCTCTGTTGGAGTGGTCGGCCTTCCGGGAGCTGCCGTACATCTTGTACACCCTGGGAGTATTCTTCTACTTCATGGCGCTGTACTTTGGCTTCTTCTACGTAAGTTTGACCAGGAGTCGTGTTTTGTGATGCTTTTCGTGTGCTAACGGAGGCAACAGATCAACACATACGCCCGCAAGGTCATAGGATTCTCCACAACAGAGTCGGTAACGCTTCTTCTCATCACCAACGGAATGGGCATCCCGATCCGGCCCATCGTTGGCTGGCTAGCCGACCGCCACGTCGGCCCGATCAACATGTTCGTCATGACCATGTTCCTTCTGGGTTGCATGGAATTCGCCTGGATCGGCGTGGAGACGAGGGCAGGCATGTACGCCTTCAGCGTCTTCTACGGCCTGTCCAACGGTGCGACGCAGGGCGTTTTCGTCGGCTCGACCGCCAGCCTGACGACCGATCCACAGAAGATGGGCACGCGGTTCGGCATGGTCGCCACCATCTCGGGTTTCGCGACGCTGGCTGGTCCGCCGATCGCGGGCGCCATCATCGACAGGTCAGGGGGCTCGTATCTCGGGGCTCAGGTTTGGGGCGGCGTCATGATGATTGCCGGTGCGCTGACGGTGGGAGCGGCGAGAACGGCCAAGGCGGGCAAGGCTTGGGGGGCGAAGTTGTAGAGAGAGGCGCGAATGACGATGTGTCACACTTCGAAACGGATAGAATAGAATATGAAGTGGATATTAATGAAGAAATGGTATATTGGGAGCACTTCAGACCAATACGATGATCCATCATAAATCTGTAATGTAAGGCGTGGCCGTAGAAAGAGCACAACTTTCGCCTGGCCCTCGAATCTAGTTCTTCCTCAACAGGGTGAGAGCTTCCGACAGCAAGCGGGCAATCTGCTTGCCATCCTCCCAGACAAAGTCATGATCGTGGGTCAAGTCCTTGACGATGGTGCACTCCACCCCGTCCTTCTTCAGCTTCGCAGCCATAGTATCGATCTCAGGCTCGTCGACCAAGGAGTCTTCCGGCGACCAGGCCAGCAAGATAAGCGGCTTGGTAGGCAGAGCATCCTTGAAGCTCCCTGAAAAGGTGGCCGGAACAACCTTGTTCCAAGAATTCTGGTCGTCTCCAAAGGCACCGGCAATAAATTGGGTGTAAGTCTGTTCGTGGCGTGCATTGAGGTTGTAAAGTTCGTATATGCCGGAAACGCCGATAAACGCAGTTGGCATCTTGACCTCCGGCGGAGGGGCCGCGCCCAGCGCAACGGATCCCATGGGCAGTTGAAGGGCCAAGGTAGCGCCGGCCGAGTGCCCGATGAGGATATAACGGTCCCCGATTTGAAATTCACGCTGTAAGAATGCAAGGGCTGACCAGGTGTCGCGAAGGTGATCCGGATGTTGAGCACAACGAAGTTCTGCGGGAGAAGTGACGTCGGGGTCTTGCGGGTAGAGAGGGTGTGGAGAGAGACGGTAGTCAACGCTGATGAAGCCGCGAATCTCGGACCTGGGGATGGACCTGGACTTTAAGATTTCCTGGATAGAAGCGCCAAAGTCTT